TATTTTTAGTGTTGTCATTGTAAATAAAAAATTAATCTGCAGAAAACAACTGATCGATTCATGGAACCATTTCTATCGAGTCAAGCGGTCGAGTCAAAATTCCCAAATTTTCGAGTCCGAGTCATGACTCGAACTCGTTCATCCCTGATATGACGTATAAGGAATGTATGAGTATACATGGATAGATATATGTTCCAGATGTCACTCTTTTCCACCGAATATATGATGCCCTTTTTCCATTGAACAATAGAAAACCATTAAGAATATCCGTCTTAATGATGAAGTGGAATGAACAATTTTTCAATGCAAGGAAAAACATTTAAGATAATTTCAACATAATAATAAATATCGTTTTATATAAGGATTGATTAAAATAAAACCTAAAATCTGTTTATTATTAATTCATATAAGTTTTATTTCTCTTTTAAAATACGTATATAAATTGTTTCATAATTTGTCATACAAATTTTGAATTTCATATATAGCTTTATTGCAGATCACTTTATCAAATGTAAATTTTTTAGTTTCTTGAATATTATTGTAATTTACATATTATAGATTAAAAAAGTACACTGGTTGATATTATGTCTCTTCGTTATTGTTTTCTTGATTCTTTTCCCGTAGAAATAATTCATATGATATTTGATTATCTTTCAACATGTGATATTCTTCATGGATTTTTAAAACTAAGTACATATATTAATTCAATTGTTTTGAATTACAATCATTATCAAATTAATTTTCGATCAATTTTAAAATATGATTTTGATTTAATATGTCAGTATATTAGTCCAAAGAAAATGGCATCATTAATATTATCTGATGGGATTGATACACCTCATCAATCTGATGTATTTTTATCATTATTTAAACTTGAAGAATTATATTTAACTCTACACTGTTTAACACTTCAAGATATAAATAATCAATCAATGGAATTAATTATCAATCATTTAGATAAGTTTGATAATTTATCATCATTAACAATACTAAATAGTAATTTAACACCTTCATCAACATTCAAAAATCTATTTACTCGATTAATTCAATTGAATATATCTTGTGAATGGTTTTTTTATAATATAACATTAATGCATCAACTTAAATATTTAACAATAACTAATCGATGTACATTCAAACAATTAGAACATATTATTCATCATATTCCAAATCTTATTTCATTAAATATTTGTCTTGAACGAGAAAATGGAGTAACTATTCAAGGAATAACTTCAAATCTGACTCGACTTGTTCTTAATATGTCAAGTAAGTTGTTAGCATTAGTTAATAAAATATTTTGATATTTTTTTTATAATTAGTATTTCAAATGAATATGATTCATATGAAAGATTTATTATGTTGTTTTCCATATCTTATTTATTTTGAAGTTGAATGTCGAAGTGATCTTGATTTATGTGATGGATGTGAATGGGAAAGATTTATTATAGATAAATTATCTCATTTAAAAACTTTTTATTTTAAATTTCAATTAAGATCAACAATTATTCTTAATGCAATAGATATTCAAAATATTTTACATTCATATTCAAGTTCATATTGGCTAAATGAAAAACATTGGTTTATTGCAATAGAATGGAGTCAAAAATTAATTTATTCAGTTCCACGATTTTCATGTGAATCAGCTGATTCAAATTTTCGTCCACCATTTCATTGTACAGCATTTAATAATTCGATTTTTTATGATCATATAAATGCATTAGCTGTGTGGGAACGAACAGAACATCGATTTTTAAATGTAAAAGAACTTTGGCTTGTTGATGATCCATTAACAATAAATTTAGAATTTATAATTGATTTAAATCGAATAGAACGTTTAATATTTGTTACATCAAAAATAGATTTTTCATCTAATATATTAATTGATCTTATTAATAAAATGAAAAATTTAATTTCTATTCAATTTTATAATATTCCAGTATCATTTAATCAATATAAACAAGAAATTTTTATTAAACAAGTTCGTTCAATTGAATTAACAAGAGACTTTAAATCATTTTCATTAATTGAAAAATTAAATAAACTATTTCCTCAAATTGAACGTTTACAAATTAAAATCAAATCTAATGAAGATATCGAAAAAATCTTAAATATATTTTCAAAATCTTTATCAATTGTTATATTTTATTATGATACATCAAATATAACAATTAGTCAAAAATCAATAGAAAATATTTTAGATCATTCAAATTTTACATTTGCAATTGATAATAATTCTATTAGACTTTGGATTGGATTACCGAATGTTGGTTTTTATGTTTGTTTTATTTATTTTAATACTATTTATTTTATTTTAGATATCGAAACAAACTCAAATTGAACAAAGAAGACATTTTGGATGTTTTTCATGTTGTTCTTCACGAAAATTTTTATCCAAATGATAGATTTCAAATCTATTTTTTGTTTTTTTAAATGATCTTATCAATTTTTTCAGTTTTATCGTTAGTAAACAATGAATCTATTATTTGACGCCGTTCATAAGTGATGTATTTCCTTTTTTTAATAATTATTAAATAAATATTTTTAATATTCACTCATTAAAATAATTTTCGACTGATGTTCTTGTCTTATTTATGATTTATCATTGTCAAATTAATAAAGGTTTGTATAGTTTTCATATATTCTAGTTACAGCTTCAAACACACCAGTGAGACACCACGACATAATTCAAAATATAATATCTATTACTACTGTAATGTAACAAAATTGAATTTATTAATGAAATTTCTTTATTAACGAAGTTCTACATTTGTATATACTGGACTTCTATAATGCTTCGCTTTTGTTTTCAGCGAACAATTGATCAAGATGTTACCCGGTATTCTTTGTTTTTTTTTGAAAGAAAACAAAATTCATATTCATCTCTAGTCAAACTTCATAGATGCAAGAGTTTCTAACCAACAATTATGTTATTAATTATTTCTATTATCATATTACATATTGTCAGGCAATTATCAACATCGTTCACAGATATAGAAAAATTTATACTAATTCTATTAAATATTCCAATAAAATATCTCTTTTAGAATTGAATATGAATAATTCGAAAAAGACTATTTAGATTAAGATAGCAGTACATTAATAGAGAAGATCTCAATATGTTATGCTATACCGAATTGTTTATAAATAAGTTTTCGACTATAACTACACACAATGTAAATAAATTTGATAAGAGACATCACAGTGATCCATATATGAACCCACGTCCAAGAAAAAATTAACTTCCATGCTGAAATTGATATCTATCGTTATCAAGACATCGTGAAAGTTAGTTAAATACAGTTTCCAAGCATTTTATTCGCAAACTTTCTTACATAGAGCCACATTCAGTATGTTATGGATATTATAATTTGTGAGCAGCAGCAGTTTCCGAGACTTGTTTTTTTCAGATTCTCCTATAAATCTCGCTATTCATTTTAATATCACATGAAATTCATAGTTACAATTAGCGGATGTGAGCACCCGATTAACGAAATCTTATTTCCTCGACTGTAGGGAGGGTTATATGAAAAAATTAAACGCATTTGTATGCTTGTGGCAAGCTCAAAGGTCAAAAAACATGAACTTAACAATAGTTAAAATTTGACCAAAGCTTTTCAGGGTTGAGTAATCGAATGGCATTATTAGTTTTCAAAAATTTTCAAATGAATTTTGTTATTCAAAAAAAAAGCCTTTTTCAAGGAAATAATGTTTTTGTTTTATAAAGTTTGACCGAAGGTGTTTGGGATCGAGAACTCGAGCGACATGATTACCTTTAGAAAACTTTTGTAGTAGTTTTCTCACTTTACGCTTTGATATATGGAACAGCAATTGGAGCTATGGCAGTGACACATTCAGTCTCCGAGTCACTGTAAATCACTTTCTGAGGGAAAGAATTGGTTTGAGCACTATCAGCAACTGATGATACCGGTCAAGTTCTGGCCCTTGAAAACTTTTTATGGAGTTTTACAAGGGTGTGACTGTGGATGTAAATGGGTAGATGTGTGTGGGTAGGTGGAGTGTGGATGTGGGTTCCATTCTGCTAAGATCTACACCAACACCCACCCACACTTCACACCCCACACCCATACATGCACACCCACACCTACACCCATACACCCACACCCATACACACCCATACACACCTACACCCACCCACCCACATCTCACAACCACACCCGCACCAACACCCGCCATCTTGCATGTCTTCTCTGAGTCATTTTCACGTTGTCGGTTTTCTCCAACTGATTGCATATCTTAATAGCACTAGTATGAAAATTACTCTCTTTTCTTGCAGACTGTATATTTTCCATTGCTTGTGTATTGTTCAATCTCTTCCTTCAACATATTTCAGAGAACTCGATGATTCTATTCGATGATATTATTCATCAGGCATTTGTCATCATTGAGAGCAAAATTTAACTTTTACAATAGATTCTTCTCATATTGATATCAGCATTCAACTTATCTATAGATGACACGCTCATGTTTTAGCAACTGTAATTCTAATAAATAGAAACATTATACAAAAGCATACTCTGTTTATTCTGTTGATATAATGCAACAAACATTCGAATAGATTTTTCTCTAAGGGTGGGTGTTGGTGCAGGGTGTGGATGTGGGTATGGGTGGTGTGAGTGTGGGTGTCATGTGAATGAGATTGGTGCGAGTATGGAGTGTAGATGTGGATGTGGATGAAGTGTGCGTATGAGTGTGCATGTGATTCATTCACTCAGTTTAATCTATACACACCCACACCTACACTCCAGAAGATCGACATTGGTCATTTTGTCAATAACTGAGCAGTAACAGTCGGCAAGGATACATCTGGACAATTTTATTCAATTACAATTCAATCACGAAGTACTCAAATTTATTGAAGAAAGCCTCTTATAATGCCTTGCGTGGTTATATATTAATAATAATAAGAGCTTTTAATTGGGGTAGATTTTTAAAAAATTTATTCAATTTTCATTGATTTAGCAGTTGAAACAAATAAATCTTCACATTAGAATGCACGAACATGGACATCGAAGCCCAAAGCATCTGGATGGATACTGGTCATCATAAACATTTGTTTCATCTTCGCCGTAGATGCAGAATGTAAACATTTTATCTGAAGAAAAATATGTCAAAGATCGAGTAGAAGTTTCAACGAAATTGTATTACTTGATACTTGATCGAGCGTGTAATCAATTTCTTTAATCGGAAGACGTTGAATAATACAATTGACTCGAATGATTAATCCTGATTTGTCAGAATGTTTCATTTGAAATTGTTCACGAATTTTGGCCCGAAAATCTTGAGGCAAATCGGGGCAATTGTCAAGTACATTGTCAATCGAGTATGTCGAGGATGACCAGACATTGTCGAATACGAGACAAGTGACTTTTCCGGATGCTTTGTTGATTTTCGAAATTGGTAAAATAGTGCTCTCACCAGGTTGATGAGTAATCGATGAATTATGATTTTCCCATTTTACATGTAACCTGGTCCAGACAAGAATAAAGCGGAGACCTTTGCAGTCAGGACACTGAATATGACCATGAGTGGAACACGTTGAACAATTGACTTTTCCATGACCGGAGCACTTGTGACACCTATAGGATCCTTGACCAGAGCACTTCAAACATTGATTGTTTGCACAACAAGTGACTCTTCCGTGTCCGTGACACTCGATACAATTCATGCGACCACAGCCTGAGCACGTTGGACATTGAATGTGACCGAGACATTCACATTTCGAACATCGCTCTAGACGTTGAGTCTCTTTCAGATCCCGAACGACTTGTCGAGGTTGTGCGTCATCAAGCATAGTTTGATTCGGTCGATCCAAGGGATAATTGTGCCAAATATCTTCCACTGGATTGTTTGGTGTAGGTTCATCGCCATAAAATGGAGCACTAACTTCCGATGTCCAGCGACTTTCACCAAGTGTCCACAAATTAGCAACATAGCCTGACATAGCTCGTTCATTGACGATTCGAGCAGTAGTCAATGGATGAAGATTGAAACAACAACTACATGTCTTGCTATCCAAGTGTGCTTGAAGTTTGAGGAGTGAATTCGAGTAGGGTACTGATGGTAAAGTAGCACCAGATGTTTGAGGATCTGGCAATGACTGCTCTTCTCCCATCGTTTTTTCCATCATATGAATATTCGTACTGAAGATATCAACGGCTATTTCAAAGGTATTAATACACCTTTGCTTATCTAGTTTTGTTATTTTTGTTTCACCTTTACTTATCCGTTGCTGAGTATCCAAAATGATAATACGAAATATTGACGCAAGAGTTTATTCTTTCGCAATGCAAAAAAGATATCTCTCGAAGATGACGATTTCATTGTTGAGTGGCTCTATTATTTCCATAGAATTACGCAACAATAGACACCTTCTTCAAGATAGGTCGAAATTTGAATGCAGTCAAATTTATTTTTCTTTCAAATATTGAATGTTCTGCACCGATAGTATCACCAAAGGTGTGGATGTAGGTACGGATGAGAATGGAAAGAAGATCTACAGCCACAGCCACACCACACACCCACACCCTAAAATATTTTAGAGTCATAAAGGAAACTAGAAAATAGTGATTTTCTAATTTATCAAATTTCATATAAATTTAAATTAAAACAAGATTTCTATAATCTTTTTATTCCAAATTATTTTTGACTAATCAAATTTTATTGTGTTATCTATTTCAACAATGAATTTATTATATAACCAATTTTTTTTGTCATTTTTGTTTTAATCAGCTTTCCAAAAAAATAATCAATTATTGTAAAAAATTTGATGATAAAATGTTTGAATAAAACTATTAGTACTGGTTAAATAATTTTCCTAATTAGATTCTCTTATATTATAGAAATCTTTTTTTTTCGATTAATCACTTTGCAACATCTAATAAGCAAATAACAAATGAAATCAAAAATATGTGTTAACTTGTTTTTAAATATATAAAGAGATGTGAAAGTAGAATCATTCTATCAGACACTTATATAGAATAAACTATGAACATAGACCAAAAAAAATTCTTTGTGATACTTTATTATAAATATAAAACAGCATTTTCAAATTAGATCAGAATAATAAAATGTTATATACATTTAGTGTGAAATGTCTTGTAAAATTCATTCTTCTGAATTTCATTAAATATAAGACTTTTCTTTAAATCAACTAATTTATGTTTACTGTTCAATAGTAAAAAAAAAGATCAATGAAATAAATTAATACATAGTGTACTCTTAATAAGTATGACCTTTCTGGATATGAATATGTTATAACAGTACATTTATCGAAAAGAATAGATGAAGTGAGAAAATCAATTTCATTGTTGAAGAATGTCAAAATGTACTTAATTTCATTTAGCGATAAAGTTTACATCATATGTAATCTCGTATACAAATTAAAACTCTTCAGATGTTATATGAAACTATCCCTAGATGTATTGGATCTAATTAACTCTAATATATGAATTGTAATAGTGAATTGTGTTTTCTTAATCGAAGGAAAAAAATGTTAGCACTCTAGAAATAAGCGAAAAAACATCGTAAATTGATCAATTTATGGCTATGACCGAATCGCGAAGAAAAAATAAGCTAATTAACAGAAAAAATGTTCACCAATTAGAATACAGAAAATGATGGTATTCTCATTTATATTGTATTTCCAAGCGGCATGGATAAAAATTAAGAAATTCGCACAAAACGAAGTGAGGCGTACATTGAAGACCAATACATGGTGAACAGGAAGTCGAGGTACATTAACATACAGAACCATTGAACATGTTGATGCATCATTTGTTTGATTCTCGACAAAAATTTAATTTCGTTGTTCGAACTTCGAATCAAAATTAAAGAACTATTTTATTCTCTTCTGTAAGTACAAATCAATTTCAGCTAACAAAGTCCAAAACCGACATCGATAACGTCTTGCCAATTTAAGAACTTGGTATTGATTTCACTGGTAAAATCACGTCTAACGAAGCAGATCGATAACATTCACATTCGATCAATTTTGGTCAAAAAATTTCTATGATTCTCGAAGTCGACAATACGTTGAATGTTTCTCTGTTGTGCTAACAAATGAAGCATCTCAAAGAACAACTAAAATCGATCAATTCAATGACATTCTGTTCGACAAGCAATTGAATATGAAAACCTCTTCTGAGGAAATGTACAGATGATAGCTCA